ATGACTTTGTATATTGTTGCTGAAAGCTTAGCCTTAAGCTTGCCTGATTCTTAAGCCCTCACAGTAATTGCAATTAGTTAAAGACTAATAACCCTTTTAATAAATGACTTCTCTGCCTAATTAGCCAGAATCAGCTTCTGTTACTTTTCACTAAGAACAACAGAAGTTGTTACCAGAAGTGAGATACTGAAAATTAACACAGCCAAAAATGTGAAATTAGTTGAATAGAAGGCAAGGACACAGGGAGATAGGACTGTTATGGACCTGACCTTTACAGTCTTTAGGCTGGTGGTCCTTGTTATGTAGTGATGAAACATAAAGTCAGTGCCTCATCGTGTTTCTGAGACACAGACCAAGTACCAGCTAAAGCTATAGCAACAAGAGAAATAACAGAATGTTAGGTGTTCTGGTTATTTCCTCCTGCTTTCAGCAAAATACTGAAAAGGAGAATGAATGCAGATTAAGCTGGTTGGTGCAAAGCAAATATGGAAGGAGGTACTATTTTGCTAAGAGCACTTTTCTGTCTACATCCTGATTGAAAGTCTTATACTTGAGATTTAGCGTCTTGCAGAATTGAAAATGAGAACTGCTCTTATCCACTAACCCTATAGCCAATACAAGCAGGGCACTTTTGAGTTCTGACATGAAATAAAATTAATGCCTCAAGCCATTTTCCAGACAAGGATCAGAGATATACAGTTCACTTACTCACTGGGGCCTATAGTTTTTCACTACTTTAAGAAGTATCCATTAAGGGGCGCCTGGTTGTTAAGTGGCTCAGTCGTTAAGCAGCTGCCTTCAGCTCAGGTCATCATGATCCCAGGGTTCTGGGATTGAGCCCCGCATCGGGCTCCCTGCTTTTCGGGAAGCCTGCTTCTCCCTCTCCCACTCGCCCCTGCTTGTGTTCCCTCTCTTGCTGTGTCTCTCTCTGTCAAATTAATAAATAAAATCTTAAAAAAAAAAAAGTATCCATTAATCTTAGGGCTGGGGAATGGGCAGAACATAGAGGCCATTACCAAAGGATGGAAATCCTCATGCTTAAAAATTATCAGGATGTTTGCCTGTGGCTACTTGTACATTAAAATGACTAGAGGGGCGCCTGGGTGGCTCAGTGGGTTAAAGCCTCTGCCTTTGGCTCAGGTCATGATCCCAGGGGCTTGGGATCGAGCCCTGCATTGGGCTCTCCGCTCAGCGGGGAGCCTGCTTCCTCCTCTCTCTCTCTGCCTGCCTCTCTGCCTACTCGTTATCTCTGTCTGTCAAGTAAATAAAATCCTTAAAAAAATAAAAATAAAATAAAATAAAATAACTAGAAAAAAATAATCTTGAATGAAGTATATTGCCAGGAAACGCCAAGCCTGGGTACCTGGCTTCAACTCTTAAGACCATCCCTGAGCTCCTGAACTCATATCAATAAAAAGGGGATTGTGAAAGCTTCAGAGCCTCAAAGAAGGGCATCTTCCCCAGTATGCCCACCTCTGGACAAGGATTCCCCTGACATACCAGGAGCCTTGAGGAACAGTGGACAAGAGAGGGTCTTTAAGTATCCCAGAAAACAGGATATGTACTACCAGATTGACTGACTAAAGAATTTATTACTTTGCCAAAAGCGAGGGTTCCTTGCTCTTCCAGCAGGTTTTATAATTTACTGTGGAACAGTGACTGCCATGTGCTTCCTATTCCCGGTTTTCATTGCTGTATCTATTTATTCTTTACTGTAGTCCAGTAGGTAACTACCATGTGGGTGCTAGCTAGTCCTAATGGGAAGGCTAGCACATTCACCAGAAGTACCCAGTTTGCATCTGGATGGGACCTTGGAGGTCAAGTAGTAAATGGATATATTCTATATATGAAATGAAGGCATATATTCATGTTGTGTAGCCAGGAGGGTATACTACTTGTTACCTCCTCAATATCCTTCCTTCTTACCAGCTGAAAAACTTTGTTTGGGATTCAGTATGCCAAGCCAAAAAAAAAAAAAGGAAAAAAAAAATATTTCTCAGACTACATGATACCTTTCTGACCACCTAAGCAGTTGTACACTGGATGTTGTTGTAAGAAGGGTATTTTCCAGTTAAAAAGGCATAAGCCAACCTAGCAGTGTCCTTTTGCCCTTTTCCCATCTGCCTGCTGTGATGTCACAGCAATAGTAAAGACAAAAATCAAACATGAAGGATAGCAGAGCAGGAATTTATAAAGAGCCTGGCTTCTTAGTGGTAGTAAAAACCAGCAGTAGCCCAGGACGCCTTAATCTGTATTTCTTGATATGTGAGCAGATTAAATCCCTTACTTTTTTAAACTGTCTTTTGTTGGACTTTTGGTTGATCTGTATTTTCCACCAGATTGTAAACTCCTTGAAGTTGAGTAGACTTTTTTTTATTTGAGGTGTGACTGACATGTGACATTATATTAGTTTCATTTGTACAACATGATTCCATGTTTGTATAGACTGCAAAATAGATTACCACAATAAGTATAGTTAGTATCTGTCTGCGTACATAGTTACAAATTGTTTTTCTTGGGAGGGGAACTTTTAAGTTATACTCTTTTAGCAGCTTTCAAATAAGCAATACAGTATTATTAACTGCAGCCACTGTGCTGTACTGAAGAGACTATTCTGTATTTGCTTCTACATTTTCATTTTGTGAGGTAATGTTCAGCATAAAAATGGCACATATATATATGTTTGATAAGTGAAACAATTTACTGCCATCACTAATATGTTAAAACCTAAACTATAATTTGCTCTCTGGTGGTATCTCCAAAGATTGGTAGAAGCAGATGAGATATAAACAATGGTTAAATAATAATTACTTAGGGCGCCTGGGCGGCTCAGTGGGTTAAAGCCTCTGCCTTCGGCTCAGGTCATGATCCCAGGGTCCTAGGATCGAGTTCCGCATCGGGTTCTCTGCTCAGCAGGGAGCCTGCTTCTCCGTCTCTCTGCCTGCCTCTCTGCCTACTTGTGATCTCTGTCAAATGAATAAAATCTTTTTAAAAAATAATAATAATAATTACTTAGCTGATTTTCATTTTGGTAAATCACCTTTATCATCTGGCTCATAAGAACATTATTTTTAGATCATTTATTTTTCTTTTTTTTTTTTTTTAAGATTTTATTTATTTATTTGACAGAGAGAGAGAGATCACAAATAGGCAGAGAGGCAGGCAGAGAGGGGGAAGCAGGCTCCCCACAGAGCAGAGAGCCTGATGTGGGGCTCGATCCCAGGATCCTGGAATCGTGACCTGAGCCGAAGGCAGAGGCTTTAACCCACTGAGCCACCCAAGCGCCCCTATTTTTCTTTTTGAATTGGTTTTAATGTTACCTTTTAAAAAATTTTTTTAACAATTCAAATTTACAGAAACGATGTAAGATATGTTGAAGGATATGGAAATTTCCTTTACCCAGATTCCACAATTGCTAACACTTACCACATTTGCTTTATTATCCATTCCTCATTTTTTTCTGAATGTTCTGAGAGTAAATTGTAAATATAATGCCTCCTACCCTCAAATGGTCATTTTTAAAATCATGACAGCCCACTAGGATTAGGTTGGGAGAAAGAGTGTATTTCTTAAAAATACTTTCATATATGTTTGCTAAATTTGCAAAGATATTCTCTTATAAAACTACAGTGTAATTATCAAAACCATAATATTAACATTGATACAACTCTACCATTCAGATGTTTTCATTTGTCCTAACTTGTCTTCTGTAGCAGAAGAAAAAAATTCCCTCTGGTCTAGGAACCAGTTGAGGATCACACAAATATTAGTCACCATGTTTTTTAGTCTTCCTCAATCAGGAACAATTCCTCAATCTGTCTTTGTCTTTCTTGACCATGTTATTTTTGTTTTTTGTTTTTTTTGTTTTTGTTTTTGTTTTTTTAAAGATTTTATTTATTTATTTGACAGAGAGAAATCACAAGTAGGCAGAGAGGCAGGCAGAGAGAGAGAGGAGGAAGCAGGCTCCCTGCTGAGCAGAAAGCCCGATGTGGGGCTTGAACCCAGGACCTGGGATCATGACCTGAGCCGAAGGCAGCGGCTCAGTGGGTTAAGCCGCTGCCT